GCCTTTGACCGACCGATATCGGTCACGGTTATGACCGGTTATGACCGGTCATGACCATAACCATTAGCATCCCTAAATGCCACGTTTGACTTTGGGGTGGCATTTTTTATTTCAAATCCAACAAGTCAGATCTGAATCCAAATCGGAATCTGACAGATCGAATCTGAATCCAAATCCAAATCTGTCAGATTGAATCAGATTTTTTGCAGAATACTAGTTAAGGTAAGTATATAAATTGAAATAGTGGTTTTAGAATTTTTACTAATTTTTTTTATAGGAGTAGATTTTTCTTGCTTATTAGCTAAGGTATATTACAAATCAGAACTCTTTTGGATGATTTTTTGGATTTTACTAATTTTTTTCTTTTTTTAATTAAATTAATTTTTCTTACTATTGGTTAAAGTAAGTCTACAAATCAGAATAATAGTTTTTCAGATTTTTACTAATTTTTTATTCTTTAATAAGGATGGATTTTTCTTGCTTATTGGCTAAGATAAGTTTACAAATTAAGTTTTTTTTAGTAATATTTTTTCAGGTTTTTTACTAATTTTTTTTTAATAGAAGCAGACTTTTTTTCTTATTAAATATAGTAAATAATTAAATTTAATAAATTTATAATAATCAAAAGTTTTATTATTTATAAATGTATTTTTCTTATAATTAAATATATTATATTAATATAAATCATATCAATAATAAAAATTCTTTTTATTATAATTAATTGGCATTACTTACTTATATAAAATAAATAATTATAAAATTACTTGTATTATAAAAATTTGATAAAATGTTACTAATCAGAATATGTTATTTGTATAATATTGATATAATAAGTAATAATAAAAATATTTCTGATTCCAAACAAAAACTCTTTTTGCTGATCCACTTGACTATGCCTTAGCAATCAAAAAGTAAAAAATTTTAACAATAACCCAATCAATGCGGTTGTTCTGGCTCACCAAATAATGAAAGAGCATCAAAGAAACTTCAACTTGATACCCCAAACCACTCAACACCTTTAATAGACAATGACACTGAAAATGATAAAATTAAAGAAATAAAAATAGAAGTTAATCCAGTTCTCTCAACTTCTAGCGACAAAAAAAACAACCTAAAATTATTTCTCTAACTGACGATAAATACGATGAAGACAAAAGTTATGACATCTCAGAAAATTTCTTGGGACCTAAAGGCCCTAACACTAATAATATTATTAATTTTGAGAGGGAGGATGATACCCATATTCTTTGCTTACTGCACTAGTGAAGATTTTCTTGCAGATCGATCAAACAAAGAAAAGATTAATGCAGCCAATAAGATTTTCAATGGATCCAATTAACCTTATTTATTAGTGCATCTGTTAAACCCCACCCTGAAAATAAACAAATCAATATTTTTTGAATTAGCTTTTCAACACGTGTAAATTATGAACTTGCAATAATAATGCAGATTATCCAATTAGGCAATCACACATTCCTCTCTTTGGCTATAACAAATGTGACTAAATTTACCCTGAACTGTCGATCAAGATCACTAAGATCCTGATCTCAATACCAGTCCAGAATGTTAGATTATCTTTTGCCTTTTTCAGTAAAATAGCTTATTGTATAATAACTACTAAAAATTTATGGCAATAGGTCACATTAACTTTTGAACAAGGAACAGATATGTCTCAATTAGATAATATACATAGTTACTTTATTCTGAAAGACATAGTTTGTATATACTGCTGTACACTTGCAAATAGTAATGTTAGGAAAAAGTCCAAATATTCACTGAAGCTTACTAACTTACCGATTGATACAAATGGTCAGCAAGTAATCCTAATAGGAAAAGCAGTTAAAGTAATAGCTTTTGTAATCCTAAAATCTAAGGCAAACTATAGAAACCTCCAATTTGCTGTTTTTTACTTCAAATCCAAACAAAATCTAAATGACGCATAAAATGAAAATACCATCTATTTAGATTGAAAGAGATTTATTTGGACAGACCCAAGTAGTAAACTTTGCTTTATTTGCTCAGTATCAGGTTACCGATTAGACAGTTGTAAAAAAGCCAGACACATTTCCAAAGACCGGTAAACTCAAAATTTATATTAATGATACCAATCTGCCCAATTTAAAAACTATACTGCACCTTCTAAACTATTCTCCAAATTTGTCTCCTTTGCCTACGTGATGAGTAATGGAAAAGATAATGAACTAAAGAATTTCAAACTCACATTCAAAGCTATTTTTACATGACTAAACGCAAAAACTGATAACTAAATTTCAAACGATAATTTCCTAGATGCAAGCATCCATGTATATGAATCTGAGCTGATGAGATTGAATATGTTCATCTCTCACTTAAAGAATATAGAAAACTGGTTAAATGATATCTTCAACCATAATAACTCTAATAAATTAGACTAACTCATAATGAAATTAGATGCTATTGCAAGTCAATTAGGACAATTACACAATGACTTTAAATTTACTAATAAATGCATTACAACCATAAAAACACTCTTAAATGTCTACTCTACCTTCCCTAAACAAGCCGCTACTATTAATACCTGCCTAATAGGTGAAAAATGGAAAAAGATAACTATGTTGTAAAAGCTGGTATTGATACTTCTGAATCAATCGTAATTTCACACAAGATTGATATAGATAATCTCAAAGAAGAGAACACTTACCTTAAATGTAACCTATAAGAAAATGTCACCAAACGCTAAAAGCAGTTGATATAATGCAACAATTGATGATTGGTGCTGAACAACTCCATGAAAGTCATAGAATAACCATTAGTGTGTTGAATAAACCTAAAGATTTCACAGATATATCTAATGAGTTATTTCCACTTAATTCCTTATTATTTTAATGATTAGTAGCAATACAAATACTGGTACCTTTAATAATATATTACCACATTCATTATTATCTACACTTACTATTGCCACTTATAATGTAATCTCATTAAATGATCCTAACTCTTGATAAACCTATATCAACAATATCAATGTGATATTTATTGCTCTTCAAGATATTAAATTCCATTCCAAATAATCAATTTTTTCATTTAACAAAAATCTCGACAAGTCATATTATACTCTCTTTAACATACAATCTAATTTAAATAATCAATGAACTGGTTTTAGTTGAATCCTTAAAAAATATATTGCTGATCATATTTATCATCATGAAGGATTCTAGGGTCACATCTTCTACATCAATTTGCAATTACAAAATAAATATCATATTCAATTAATCAACATTTATATCACCTCTTCAGATAATCTGCTAAAAAAAATTATATAATAAGATAGCTGATCTATTCAAACAAGCTGTTGAAAAGAATATAAAGAATATGCAAATTATCATAATTGGCGACCTCAATGCTGAATATAAAAGAAGCCATAATCTAATGCATTCAAATCATTTCTTCTGATTTCTCGTCCAATGGAATATATTCAATATTGGTAGCATCTGTTATGATGACGCAAATACTAGACTTACGACCTTTTATTGATCTGGCTATAAACCTAGCAGAATTGATCATGTATACTGCTCAACTGAATTAGCCATACAAAGTATTTCACAGTTCTCTATTGCAACTGACCTATCTGATTATCATGTTCTTGTTACATTCTTAGAATATTTACAATTATATAATAATACTTTAACTTCTCCTATTAAGAAAACATCTTTTAATATTGATTTAATAACACAAGAAAAATGGAATAACTTCACTTCTCGCTCTGATCAATTATTGGAAACTAGTCCTATTAAAGACTTTGACATCAATTGTCTTCAATCTAAATCAAATATTAATTTTTGTTGGAATATATTTCAATCCATTATAATTACTGCAGCAAAAAAAACCATTTCCAATAAATAATTTAATAATCATATTAAAGATTTTTGACTCAAACTTCTCAAAAAAACTTATAGATCCTTAAAATACATTCAAAAATAGAAGAAACTAACCTTATAAATTGCATCTACGAATGTCTTTAATGAGAAATATAATTATTATTATTCTATAATTTACCTATTACTGATTTAAGATCACTTTAATAGCACACATGAATCCTTTACAGCTAATTTCATAATTCGTGGACCACTAATAAATTGCGACTGAATGTGACTGAAAATATTTTATAATAAAATTACTAGAAAATATTGCGACTGAATGCGACTGAAAAATTATTAATGGTCCATAAATTATGAAATTAGCTGTAACATGAGTTCTAATCAACAAAGATCTTATCAATCAATTATATCAAGCTCACATTACGAAAGCCAAACTTATAGAATAAGAATTCAAGATCTTCTCAATTAAACTAGCTTTAGAGAGATGATGTTACAATTATAAAAACAACTAAAAGAATATGATTGACTCGCTTATAAATCGTAAAAGAAATGTCATCTACCTGAACAGATGTCTGATAGCTCTAATGACAATAAAGGCCTATTAACTTATCCAATAAATATGATTCAAGAAACTAATCAACATTTTTAGAGAGTCACAGGTACTTTGCATCACTTTAGGATAGTTTCAGATGATTGGTAATAATAATATCAGCTTATAGATTATATTAATCCCTTCATATATGGGAAGTGGTCAGTAGAAAAAGGGGAAATCTGAAAATTTTAGTAACTTTAGTTACTAAGCTAATTTTGTTCACATGACTATGATTAGTGAAGTGAACTAATTAAAAAAATTTTGACCAAAATTTGGATTTCTCCCTTTTCTATTGACCGCCTCCCATATAACAATTTAATGTTCGCACCTACTGTAGAAGAATGGTATAATGTGATAGATGAGCTCTGCAATAACAAAGCTTCAAGACTATTCAAAATATCGAATGAAATGCTTAAAAATTTAGGACCTCAGACCATAAAACTATTCTGGACCTTTATCTGTAATTGTATCATTACTGCTATTCTTCTAGACGCATGAAGTATCACTTTTATTTACCTAGTCACAAAATCTAAGCTATAGGAATACAATCTTAATAACACAAGACCTATCACATTATTGGAATGCCCAAGAAAGCGCTTGTGAAATTAATCAATAATAGATTATTATCAATATTATCTCAACATTAAGCCCTTAAGGAATACAACATTGCTGGCCTTTTTCACAGATATACGAAGGACCCAATATATATTTTTGATAACATTAAAAAGGATGTTCAATTTCATCAAAATAACCTATGATCAAGGTTGCTTGTCTAAGTTCATTTTGGATTTGGCAAAACGGTTAAACCTTTAGTTTCGCTAAATCTTTACTAAGTATTTGATATAGTTTTGCCATTTTTATAAGCTTTGATATGGTTTTACCTTTTTCCAAATTTCGCAAATTTTTTAATAAGGTTTTAATATAATTTAACCAAGTTTTACTTTTATCATTTAGATGTCTGTCTAAACTCTTGATTTCGTCTAGCAACCTTACCTATGATCCTGTTTCAGAATATGTCCAAGGCCTATGATAGAGTCAATCTTAGAATACTCTATAAAGCATTAATAAGACTCCATCTACCTGATAATTAATCTCATCACTTTTTGCTTTTAATTTTAATTAAGTCTTAACAGCGCACGGTACTACACTAATATACCCTATTCTTTCTGATATTGATCAAGGGAAAATTATTTCATCAATTTTATGGTGTATCTATTTTGAGTACCTTTTATATTGAGTATAAGCTACAGATCTGAGCTATCACCTTTATATGGATTCACCTATTTTACACGTGATCTTATCATCACGACATCATAATAAAATACATGTACCTGCTTTTGCCTATATGAATGATACCCTTTAGTTTAGCAATTCTAAAGTATTACTTAATAATTTAATGACTATTGCAGACAGTTTCTATACTTTAAACTTGATCCAGATCAATTAGACCAAATTTATCCTTTTTTCCTATTCAAAAATCAAAATACTATTCATTTTCAACTTCCATCTGCACTGATTAATCTTATACTAGTCAAATAAAATTTCTCAATTAGATACCTAGGAATCTGGATTTCTATATCTCATAACAAATAATACATATAACAACAATTTCATCAAGAAATCCATACAGCATGCAAAACTATGATGCTCAAAAGTCTTATTAACAAACAGATGATTTATATTTACAACATTGTTCTTTTTCCAAGATTGTTATATAAAATGCAACTCACATTTTTAGGTCAAAAGTTTTGTGATCAACAAATAGACACAGTTAGTTATCTTCTCAAATCAAAGCTGATCTTATCTAAAGATACAACAATTTTCACCTTTCACTCACCTTTTTTATATAATATTTCTTACCTGTATGATTTTTATTTATATATGCTAACACTAGAGTATATAATAATTGACGCATACTACTTCAAACTCCTAAGTGGTGTTAACATATAGAAAGATGCTTTAATATGGATCCCATTACTAGAATAATTGCAACTATCTTTCAATTGTTATATAAACATAAACTTTCTATCATTATTCCATCTTCGGTCAAAACTAATAATATTAATAACTTTGTCATCTGTTTGCATTCAATATTAGAACTAGCTGTTGCTGACAGAACCATATATGCTAACAATCAACTTTTTACTCTATAACATTTTAACCTTCTAAAAGCAGAAAACTATATGACTATGATGGTGATATATAACAGATGCTCTTTTAATGATACTAACACTTTTTCAACGCTTTCCATTAATGCTCAATATAGAAGAAGTGGTTGTCTCTTCACATATAACAAAATGTTCTATGCCTTTATACATGTTAACCCTATCTGATCAGTTGGACTTCAATGCGGATTTTCTCATTTTATGCTTTATGACTTAGCATATATGGCATATTTTAATTCATCTATTATTTCTTCAAATTCTTTTATAGATTCTATTAATTTTTCTTCTCTTTTTGATGCTTCTTTGATGACTACACTCTCAAATATTACACATTCTCTGTATAATTCCTCTTACTTTCAGTTTTATACTGATGGTTTTTTTTCTTAATACAGGTATCTCTTCATTTAGAATGAGATGTGTTTGGTTATTTACTAATTTGATCAATCCTCCTATCTCTTTTTAAAAGCATTTTCACCTAATGCGTCTTTAGCAGAGCTCATTACTGTGGTAGCTACCATTACTACTATACCTTTTGATGCTATAGTTAACATCTGCACTGATTCAATGGTCACTATTCATAATTTCGAGAGATTTCAACATTTTTTGGATGTTTATCCTATCAATAACCCAATATACAAAATAGATTACCACAATATTTGACATGCTCTTTTCAAGTTGATCTCAGCTAAACAACTTAAGATTCTTTTTACTAAAATATAAGCTCATAGATCTGATGCATATAATATCAATGTGGATTTGCTCGCAAAGGATTGCAATTCAGCCAATATTCTGTTTTATGATACTAAAACTCTTGGATACAAACACGTATTCTGTTACCAATAGAATCTAGTCCACATTTTACCTCATTTATTTTTTAAAAAGCATGTAGGGCTGCATGCTTTAAACAATTTATTGACTCTCTATACTTCACTAAATATGAAAAGCAATCTATACATTGGACTGCTATATGTTTTGTACTGAACGATAATGAAAATTCATTGATAATGTCTTTTCAGACCTCTTATCTTAATAAATAAAAGTTGAAACTTCTTCTTGAAATGATCCAAATACTACCTATTCTTAAAAATAGACATCCCAATTTCTATTTTAAAACCTTTAATGTTTAGCATATGACGTTATCAAAGAAATTTTTACAATATATGATTTTGTTCAGTTAGTAGAAATGATACCCATAATGCTACAGTTTCAACTCAAAGGCTCCTTCTTACTACTTTACAACAAACAATTGGCATTGATAATATTTTAGATGATACTTTACAACCTTCTTTGATAGATGAAATATGAGACCTTTTACCACATACATTACAGTTTACATTTATTGATATGATCAAAGACATTATACCCTGATCCTTATTTAATAAAATTAACATTTTAATAAACTCTATACAAATCACCAATACCATTTTGTCCTTAATTTATCACTATGCATACAATTGCACTAAAGACATATGGAAAAATAAATGTTTATTACTTAATACATACGAAAAACATTATAATATTTCTTTCAGTAATAAAAAAAACAATTGGAATATTTTAGGATTTATTAAATCATTCTCTAAACAGCTCATTAATATTTCTTCACAATTTATTTATACATTTCATCATAGTATCTCTTGGTTAGATTTTTGGATTGGTAGTGACTGGACCCTTCTCCTAGATTGCTAAGATTATTTGTTTTACAGGTAATTAATCTAAAAATATACAAAATTGGTTTTGATATATTTTTCTTTTTTTTGATAATAATCTAGATTAGAATAAATAGAAATTTTTGTTATCTTATGTATCTGTTTTTGTACTTTTGTATAAATTTATCATTTCAATAAATATTTAGCAAAACTATCGCATATTTAAAAAAAAATAATAAAAATATCACTTTACCTATAATTAATGACATTGTGGCTTTATTAATATTAATCTAATTCGTAATATTAGCCTTAGATGTAGTCTTTCACAATTTATGTTATTCGATTTAGCATTTTATGCATTTTCTGTTTTGACTAATTCTTATTCTACTTCACTCTTTACTTCTATTGATTTTACTTACATTTTTGACTCTATGTCTATAAATACTCTCTCTTACATTGCACATTTCTTTATTAATATTTCTACTCTCTAGTTCTATATAGATGGCTCTTTGACCAATGCCAGTATCAGCTTATCCAGAATGGAAATTGCCTAATTACTCACTACTTTGAACCTTTCTCCTATATCTTTTAATACCACTTTGAATGCTTCTTTATTTAATTC